CCTTGTAGTTTCAGATTTTTTTCACAAAAAATGTCCCTATGATCCATCTCAAAATTAACCATTATTTAGACAACAAGGCTTTCGAGTGTGGGTGTTCTTCTTCAGCTTGATGGTCAAACTTATCATATATATATATATATATATACACAATATTTCCATGATTCTATTACACTTCCATATTGAGATTAGCTACCCAATTCCTCTCTGTTGTATTTTTCTACAAATTCTGAAAATTGAATTTCATAAAACTGGAGGCAAAAATCAAATCAAGCTTAAAACTGGTTTCAATATAAATAATCTGATTATGAAGTCTGCTAAAAACACTAGTATCTACACATTTTCTATACAGAACCTTGGCTCATATAATTTGTTAAAAGTCTACGGTATCATTTAATCTTAAGCTTTAAGTCTATGTAAATAACCTTTCCTTTTTTTATTTTCACATTTCTCACAAAAAACTGACAACACCTAAGAATAACATCTAATATAACAAAAGAACCAAAGGCACTGGTTATAGCAAAACTACCCTTATCATTCATTCTCTACTCTTCTATAATGATAGTTATCCAATTCTAATCTCATACTTTAACACCTATGACATGATTTCTCAAAATCAGAAAAAAGTTTCCTTGTCTCTGTCTAAATTTAATTTTCAATGCTTCCCTAAACAAACTTTCCTAACTTTAAAGTCCATCATGAGGAAACATCCTTCCACATCTATAACCCTTTTAGAATGACTTTTGTATTCTCAAAATAGAAACAATATAGCTACAAATAACTGATTTCTAATACAATAAAAGGAAAGGAGTGCCATGTTCAAAATATTTTTATTCAATACATGGGTCCCACAAGTCATGCACAAACATGCTGGGATAAATATAACCAAACAGTACTGAATGGATTAAATCCACTTCCCACAGATCTAATAACTTCACCTGTTCTTCCATACCTATTCTCACTAATTTAAAATATAATACTTAAAATTTACTCAAAACTTCTTGCACATACCAAAGACAAGGGAAACTCTAGCTATTTCTATCCTTATAGCTACCTAATAGCTTTCATGTCTGGTTAAAAATTAACTTGTAGGGGGGGGGGGTTATCTCCATCATACCAGGTTGTTGAATCAGTGTAGAAACTTCACAAAACCAAAAATATCTAAATATGTATTTACCTTGAGAGTTTTCCCACTTCTTCACCACTTTTAATCCCACCATCTTCTGACAGCAACGATCCTAGAGCCTTCAAAAGTTGTAGTGGATCAATTGGAGCCTGAAAAACAAGAAATCATGATTTTGAAACTCTGGAAAAAGTTGAAAGTGTTTTGTTGAATACTTTGTTTCTGCAACCCTTCTCTGAAAAGATGAAAAAACATTACAAGATGAAAGGTATACTGTACTTTTGTAAACTTCTGTAAAGTTTTAAACATAACATTATACAAAATTAAGAGTTTTTTTTACTCACTGGTTCACATCTGTAATTCAAAATATATTGTCTGGAAAAAATAACAAGTGTGCTCTCTTGAAACAAGAAAATATCTTTACAGTTAATGTACAGTTCAAACAATGACTCTTCTGCACAAGTAATTGGTTAACAGTTGAACAGATAATCTATTACTTAATACTCAACTAGTTACCAAATGAGCCAAAAAATGAAACACTTAAAATGAAGTATAAACATCTATACAATAAAAAAAGCTTTTCAAACATGTCTTAAACCCATAAGTAAATATTACATAGCTAAAAATTTTATATGAATTTAGTGATAAATGTTTTTAAACTTTTAGAATGGCAGCCTTGAAATAAGTCAAAAACAAATCATATTATATAAAGGTTATCAGAAGTAAATTTCATTCAGTCTATCTCAAGTTGACAACAGTAACTTTAAAGTTAGCACTCTTTCAAATTACATAAGGTCTGTCTATAATTTATTAAACTTAAACTAATTTGTAACAACACTTTACATATAAACACCTTGCATCATTTACATGCATCTAATAATAAAAAATTAGCACAATTTTGATAGACAAGCTTAACTAATGTGAATATGATCTGAGGTCAAAATTAAGTTAGGTAATTATATATTTTACCAAAATGACTGCAGTTAAAATAAATTGGTTTCACATGCCAATTTGGTATACACTCACTTTATAAGGAGTGCATATGGAATATACTGAACAAATACAAGCACTGATCTAGTTTGCTTGATTCCTCATGTATTTACTTACTAAATTTCTACATCTACAAGAACAAGGACCAAGAGTGTAAATAACACAATGAACCTCATTTAATGAGACATGTTTGAAGAACGTGATTAAAAATAGCAGTGGCTATAAATTACTTGCTAATAAAACTTCAGAGAAATGTCTGACTCGAGTAAAATTCCATCTTGAGATTTTATCTTGAACTTTTTATAAGTTATTGAAATGAAATATTAAAATAAGCTCAACATTGAAAAAAAAAACTATTTAACTCACTTTTTATGGCAGGTTACAATGTAAAGAAGTCTGATAATCTGTGTAGTTAACCTATTAAGTTACCATATCTGTCTCAGTTTAGCTCATTTTTAAGTTATGAATTGAAGTGCAAATTTAAAGGCATGAGAATGACAAAAAAGAAGCTATCAGTATAAAAATAATTACAACACTAGTTAAACTTTGTCGTGTATATAAATGTACAAATCTGTTTACTACAGCTAAGAAGTATGAGAAACAGTTCATAATGTGTCTATGAAGATAATTGCCTGATCTGTCTAAATAATAAAATTTGGGCACTTTTGCCATTCATTGTATTTGAAGTGCTATTGTTACTTAATCCCCTAAATTGTAGGCTCTTTTATGACTTGCCACGTGGTTTGTGTTAATGGTTGTTCTTAAAGGTTGTCTTTCTTCAGTGTATGTGGATGAGGGATCTTCATTATTCAATGTACCTAACCAGCAAACTGTATTTCAGGGGGTTAGTATGCTTTGTCCAGTGATAAAAACTTCTCTAGTGTGTAACTATAATCAGAGAACAATCAGAGATACTGTATAAATTTGTGCTGTATATTCCAAATATGGAGCTTTTGTAAACCTAAACTAATAATGAGCACAGCCAACTGAAATGTTTTCTGTTGCATATTTAATTGTATTTTCCAGTCATCAGAAACCTAAAAACAGCTTATACAAGAATAATATACCAGAAAAATTCATAATTTTAGGCACAAATCAATTTTTATTACTATAGCAAAAGAAATTCATGTTAATTTTCTTCCATGTTAATTATTTGTTGATATGTAAATCTGAAAATGTCATAACTTGTTTAATGTTTATAGATTTATAAATATTTAAACAGCAAATTTCTGCCACTGTACATTAATTCTGCAACAATAAAATAATTTTTTATAAGCATATTCTGAAATGATGTCTAGGTCCTTATATTGCCATGGGAACTACTTTCCCCATTATTGATTAAGCTCATTTTAATGGCTTTACACATTATTGCCCAGCATTGGAATTTCCATGGTAACAAATTTCCTGTAAAAAGTGAAAAGATCAGTCTTAGACCATACACCTCAACACTCTCTCTACAGACCCCCTCAACTTCTAAGAGCACATTTTAAAGCAGACCAAAGACAAGACCACTGGAGTTTCATAGGGAGAACTGACAGATATGTGAAAACAGTTGCTGATATTGAGGTCTGGCTAAAAGCTTGTAAAATTTTGGTCTGAAAGACTTCAACTTCTTTCTTATAATGTTATTGATGATACCAGGAGCTCTATCCAGCTTTGTTGCAATGTCTTAACACTAGAAGATTTTCTTCTTTTTTTTTTTTTTTATTCAACAGCTTTTACTTCACAGGTTTGGGTATTCTATCAGATTGGGTCGGGGTGTAATGCTAGAGGTCATTTTTTTTGTTAATTCAATGTTACAAAAGCTTTCTATTTTCATAAAAAACATTACACACAGTTTTTTGATTTTACATAGTTTACAAATCTTCACATTTAAATATTTCTCTTAGGAAAAGGTGTGACATCAAGCTCTAGCCATGAATCTACACATGACAACATTGCACTGTTAAAGGGTCAAGAATATGTAGGTAGAGCTGGGTTATTAAACAGATTACCTATGAGCATTAAATACATTGATTAGTATCACGTGAAATAATCAACTAATCAAAAACTAAGCCTGTTAACTCTATAGTTATCCTGACCAACCTACTAGCCATGAAACTATACTAACTTTGAATGGAGAAAGTTTATCTTTAGGAGATCTGGCAAGCTTTTACTAAAGATTTGTCTCTGAATTTATGAAGCCTTTACTGAAACAGTCTGAGTGCAAGGTGATGTTCATGCTAAGAATAAAAATATTATATCTTACAGTCTCTACATTTCCATAAAATCTCAATGAAGTTTTTTTTCTTCAATAAAACTATATTTTTGATATTTTCTACACCCTAACACTAGCTAGCTATAATGAAATCAGAAATGTAGGGTAAAATTAAAATTGAAAAACTACAAAATAAATCTAAATTACTCTTTTCTTTCTAGAATGACAGCATATTTTAACAGATTATTACACACTTTTTACTCTTATAGCCAAAGTAATCTGGATTAATTTCATTGTTTAACAGCTGCACTGAGTATTCGCAAAGCCATTTATCATAATGGGACAACTTTATGTAAACAAATGATCCGTTACCAGCACACACGCTCAAAAAACACACACAACCACATCTTGCCATGTCCTTGTGTTTCATTTAAATTTTCTTATCTAATTTTTACATTTTAGTAACTTTTAAAATAATAAGTAATTTAGCACTTACACCTGGGCTTATTTTTAGCTCTCAGAACTGACAAACCAGTAATTAATTATTTCAGACATGTATTTTAAAACAAAATATTATGCACAAAACATAGAATGTCCTAAAACTACTATAATTTATGTAGATTTCTAATTAAGCTATAAACAGTTAAGTATATTCTGTTAACTGGTTAAGCTGATCTCCACAATAGTAAATAACGAAGCTGGGGACAAATAATTCAATAACTGTCATCAGAATGATACAGTATTCAAAAGAGAAATGTAGAACCTTCTCTTTCTATTGGTTATAAATAATCTAATAGCAAATGTCACAGAGAATTACTATCTATTGGTTATAAATAATCTAATAGCAAATGTCACAGAGAATTACTATCTATTGGTTATAAATAATCTAATAGCAAATGTCACAGAGAATTACTAACATTTTTTGAGAGACAGGATGATAGGAGGGTGCAGAATGTGGGTTTGACTTTCTTGCTTGTATTTCAGCAATGCAAGAAGCTTGGAGGTTATAAATTTACATAGTGGCTTGATATCTACAATATAAGTGTGTAATGTGTGCCAAACTCTGATCATATAGTTTTAGGAAGAAAATCTAAATTGGCAGTTTGGAACAAAAGTGGCATGTGATACAGAAAAGTAAAGATTGAGAATTTATTTAAATATTTCCTGCTGAAATTAAAACATACATAATATTAAAATCTGAATTATAAACTATATGTTGATGGTAAGTTTATTGATAAAGTTGTTTAAATTTAAGGTAATTTTGTAAACAAGTCATAATAAGCACACTAACTTATCAGGATCCAGAGATCATATTTTCAGTAACTCACCATTACGTAATCACAGAAGTCAAATACTGCTTGATTAATCCTCATGTATATGATAAAGGTAACAAACACCAATTATAGTTAGATATCGTATACAACTGTTCAATGACTTTGGAAGGAGAACTTAATTTTCAACTAACACAGATCAGTCTTAGCAAATGTGAGAAGTATAGCTAACAGCTGAGGCATGTGAACAATAACATACACAAAGGAAAGCCAATACAAAACTGAAAGTAACTTGATTGTGGGTAAGGACAAATATTTTTATATCAGTTTTTATTGTGACATTACATCACAATAACATCGGAAGCTTCTAACAAATCTTTCTCTATTGACTTTACACAGGTTTCTAGTAAAGAAAACGTAGTAACATTTTGACCATATACCTTGTGTGCTGAATACCACTACCAGCAAGGCTATTTACCAGAATTCATCATGTCAACTAAGCATGCATGCAAAGCTTAAGTAGAAATGCTATCTATATCAGGTATTTACTAAATATCACTTATGGTACATAACACCTTATGCCAGCAAACCATGATCTATAAATTGGTTTGTAGTATAACATGACATTATAATAAGAATGATTACAAATTTTCAACAAATATTTCTAAACTGGCCTTATACAGGCTTTCAGTAG